AACCACCCAAAGCTATACCTTTTAGGGTTTAGGACCTAAACTCAGTTAGGTCCATCTTGGTCAACAACAACACCTTTTCATTTGTGTACGCTGAAGGTTCTGAGAGGCTGAAAGAGGTCTAGGAGGCCTAGCAACCTTTTGGTGCGAAGCCCTGGGAGCTTCTGAAAACGCCTGCAGGCTCCTGAAACGCTTCTGAGAGGCACTGAAATTTCTGAGGGGCCCCTGAGAGGCCCTCGGAGGCCCTGGGAAGGACTGGAAGCCGCTGAGCCCACCCTCCTGGCTCTCAGGCCTGGTCCTGAAATTCGCTGGGTGAACTCTTGGGATCGACCTGCAAAAACCAGACCGGTACCTGGCCTCGTGGGTGTTACAGTACCCCTGGCTGTGGGAAGGCAGGCGAGCGACCTGGATCGACCTGCACCATCGATGTCGAGGGGCATAAGCGCCGCCCACCATCGAAGGTGAGCGGCCTATGCCATGAGTTTAGGGGCTATATATAACCATAATGGAAGACAAAATGCAAACTACTGTTGTATAGTATATTGGGGTAATATAGGGATAATGGAAAGTAAAATGGAAGCTACTATTTAGGGTTTAGGATGTTCACTGTCGAGTCCATTTTCTTGTGCATTTGATTCTCCATTTGTTGGGGTAACTATATGTTCCTACAGAATCCCAAGTCATGTATTTTCCATGTTCTTGTCATAAGGCTCCAACAAATCAGCCCTGGGTCGAGATCCGGCCCTCACCTCAGCAAGTGACCTTCGTCTGGCTATGTTCATGTGAGTAGTATTTTATTTGGGGATACCATGGTACCCAGTATATAGAGTAAGATTATATCCTCCTTTTGGGTATAGCATTTTCAATAAGGAATATAATCTTACTAGGTTCAACCACCAAAAACAACATTACTCATGTTGGCAATCTGAATCACAGGGCACCGGCCAGGGTTGAGATCGGGATTTTCTGGTCTGCAGCGTTAAAGCCGTAAACGCATGGCGATGGCAATGAGATAGGGGGTCGATGTTGCAGAATTGCTTAAGCGATAAGGATTTGTTCTATTTTGCTGGAGCTGTTTGGCAGTATCAGGAGGCGAGGGTGGTGGTACCATATAACCTCCATATAACCCTATACTACAGTAGTTTCCATTTTCTTTTTCATTCTCCGTATATAACCCCTATATAACACGTCGCGTTTGAGGTTGGTATCTAGAGTAGGTTGAGGTTGGTATCTAGAGTAGGTGAGTTTGAGAAGGCTTTGACGAGTCAAAGCGTTATGTGGTGAACGATTGTTTTTGTTTGTCTTCTTGAAAGCCTTTGTACATTGGGCCTACGCATCATCGTTGTAGCTGCCACCATGATGAATATGCTTCCTATATAATGTTATATTCCCTTATTCCCATGATCCCAATACAATCCGTATGTATAGTATAGTATATAATCCCCATACAGTACACTATGTTCCCTTCTTCCCTACTAAGAACCAGTAAGACTACCGAGCAGTAGCATCATCCCGGTGCCCGTTCCCATCACCATTTCCACCAGGATGAGTTGCTTCTTGTGCTTGCTCTTGGGAAGAACCCTGCAGAAATGCAATATGATCCCTATGTAATCCCTATATACTCTATATAAGCCTTGAACATGATTCTACATATGCCCTTTATATCCCTATACAAACCCTATATATGCTTTTATATAGCCCTGCATATCCATATGTAAACACCATACATGACTTTATAGATGACGCAGAAGGGAGCTGCATTGTTCTGGCATTGCCTGAGGCACCCGGGAAGGCTCCGCTGGTCCCAGGGATGTGCGGTCGTGCGCCTCAAGGCCTTGCACATGTAATCCAGAGTCTAAACTCCTTGAAAGGGAGGTTATATACAGGATGATATAGGGGAGTATAGCGGGTTTTTAAGGGGGATACTAGGAGTTTAGATTATACCTCATATTGGTAGAGCGAGTAATAGTTGTTGGGTTGTGGCTTATGGGTCGGGAAGCCTTTGGGTAAAGATGACTATGAATGCTGACCTCACTGCAGGTGACTCTGCCAGAGACCATCAGAGGGGCTCAAGACGTCGACGTGCCGGCCTTTCCTTTGCAAAGCCAACAGTGGTTCCTTCACAAGTGCGAATCTGCAGACGCTCATTGCTGTGAGTGCTCAAGACCAACACCTCGTGAAGCAATCTAGCAAACGCTACGGTCAAATGCTAAGCAGCTTTCAAGTACTGCATTCCACTACAGAATTGAGATGTCTGCCGCTGGCTCCTTGAACCCGTCTCTAGTGTTGAGGGCTCAGTCTCTCCTGTGTGATTCAGCAGTGTGTCTTGCAGCATGAAATTGGAAAGTAGCCGCTTTCCGAGTGCGCTTGAGAGCTTCAACTCGGCCACTTCTGAACGAAGGCGGGCACTTCAGATCGCGAATCACGTCCTGGCAGACGGTGGGCGAGTGCTTGCCCACGCATGCAGCCCCTCAGCAAGCAAGCTCTGCACTACATCAGATGCTGCATAGAATTGGGATGGTTTTAGAGCGCCGCATTTAGGGCAGCAGCTATTCAACAATGCCTTACTTTGAGATGTTGTAAGTGCAAGCATGTTAGGTTCTTCCCCGCACTGCCATGCGGATTAGCAAATGATGGGTCGGGCTGGATTAGAGATCCCTTCATGAGCAACAGGGATTAATTTTGAGAGTTGCTCTCCTTCAGTTTATTACCCCCAGGAGAGAGAGAGTGTACCCAGTACTGCTCAGGTGGCACCTCACCACCCAGCCAGCGTCTGCTGCGCGCTGCAAAGGAGGGCAGTGTTTGGGAGAGTTTTGGTAACAGTTTTTCTGATGCACCTCAATGTATGGAAAGCTGCTGCAGTCTTCCTTAGTCTGCCCAGGAACATGACAATCTTGGTGTGCTACTATCGGAGCCTAAATAATCACCAATATTATGGCTCCATATTCCTTGTATAATTATGGTACATGCTACCTCAAATGGACCTCAAAATGATATTGGTAGTTTTGTCCCTAAACCTTAAACCCTAAACCCTAAACCCTTAGCCCCTGTAGTAGATGCCTCCAGCGCCAGTTCAGGTGTGCCCGGCTGCGAAGAAGCCCTGGCGAGCGGTGCTGACGTAAACTGGAAGGACGAGGTCTCGCTCTGGCAGCCGTTGCAGAAAGTTCTTAAATTAAGGGGTAGAACATAAAGTTTATATAGGGATAATGGAAAATAAGATGGAAATTGTTATTTATGTAGGGTTTAGGGTTTAGGAAATTAAGTTGCAGAAAGTTCTTATCAGAATTAGCAGTTTTGATGGTTGCTCATGTGAGCCATAATCTAAACTCCTTGAAGGGGCTTATACAGGGGAGTATTATAAGGGTTATTAAAGGGNNGGAGTTTAGACTATAGCTGATGTTGCTACAGGGCCTGGGGACTCTGTTTTCAGAGCACTTCTCACCTCGGGGATTCTAGAATCTAGAGGCTCTGCCAAGCTCTCCCATTTGGAGAAAGAATTTGTGCATTCTTTCACCAATCAGTCCTGAAGAGCCAGCAAGCGAGCTTCAAAAATCTTAAGCATGGGCCACTGAGCCTCTGGAAATGCCTGCGCTCCTCAACTGGGTTGCTGTTAAGGA